CCTGAAGCAGAAGCAGCAAGCCACCCCATGCTCATCCCCCAGGCTGAAATCAGCAGAAGTGAGACGGCATGGCACATGATGCCGCAAGAAGTTAGAGGAGACTTGGAAGTCTGTGACCAATTCCCCTGGTTCTAAGAATATAATCACTTCTGTTACAACAGCGATGAATTCCCAACCTCTTGATGCCTCCAGAGCTCCTGCCAGCTAATTTCAGCTCATTTCCCCTATAATTTTGCCTCCTGTTTACTCTGCAGAGGTCTGAACAGCACCAAGCCTTTCAGGTGAGCTGCCAAAACAACATGATGCAACACCGCACGCTCTGTTACCACCCGCTCCTGCAGCTGCTGCCACCCTCCGTAACGCGGCGCCTCCGCTCCCCCGTGAGAAGGCAATTTACTGATTAGCTCCCTGGGAAGAGGCTTAACAACAGGATGTGCAACACATCTGTAAAAATTGCATCAACTGCGACGCCAGAGGAGTTTCTCCTTGTGTTGTGTGTTGTGTGCTTTGCCTTGGCCGGCTGTAATAGTTCTGTTACGTGAACTCACGTCTGCTGAAGGACACGAGAACCGTACCATTGTTTAGCTCCATTACGCAAATGTTTCATTATTTTTATGACTGGCTGCTAAAATTGTCCCCTTCTCATGAAAGGCGGTTCCTTCTTGCACTGAGAGCCGTGACCACATGGGTCACATCGCCTCTGCTTGTCCTTTGAAGCGAGGGCTGCGGGACCGTGAGCTGGCGTCTGTTCCACCACCTGCGGGACCGTCCGCAGAGCTGCAGCCTCTGGCCAGATGTTGCCCCAAGCTCCACTCGTATGATTCTACCACTGAGGCTTCTGGGTCCAAATTCTGACTGTATCGACCAACATCCCAACCTGAGGTTAGCAAAGGAGCCAATGCCAGCATTTATTTGTTCTTCAGCATTTTCATATGGTGCTCATCAGGTAACAGCGACCGCAGTCGTGAAAAGGCTTGAGCAGCTCTACCACCCATTGCCAGGGAAAGCTCCTGTTAACCAGGGATCACTCTGGCACAGCACAAAAACCCCCAACAACACCACTTACAGAGCATTAAGTGCTTCTGCAACCGATTGGTATAGATCTGATGTCATGGCCAGTTAAAACAACTTCAGAAGCATTGGTTGGAAGACATTATAGAGGTGTCAGATGCTATTTGGTCGCCAGGATGTAACACAAGGCTTTTAGTTTCACTTTACTGATGGCGAAAATGGAAGCTGAGTAATTTAGCAGGGCAGCAACAAGCCAAAGCCTGGCGTAGAGTACAGTTGTCCTGAATTAACGCCCTTCAGGCCACAAGGCAAATGTTTCCTGACAGACAGCACACAATGGTGACCGGGGAGAAAAGGAACAGAATAGAATGATTTTATCTCCAGTGTCCTCCTTTCCTACAGAAACGCAGTCAATGACAAAGCCACTATCAACACAGGCATCTCCCACGTCAGCCACCTCCCTGCAGGCACCACGTATGAGGAGCAGAAAGGGGGCCCCCAAAGTTAACAAGGACATGAAACCCAGGAGAGCAAAGCCACCCTTCCACGAGAGACGAGTGCTCTCTGCAGAAGCGGTGCCAGGCTCATCTAAACAGAGCAGTGAGGATGTGTACGCTGGTGGTGGGACACTCCCACAGCTCCTAGCCTGAGGAACTGTGGAAACGGGAGGAAAGCATCGATCGCTGCATGGGATCCCTGGCAGCCTGTCAAGCTGAGAAGCAAAGAGGAAAAAAAAAAAAACCCAAAACCCAAAAAACAATGGATACGTTTTTATTTCCTTTTGTTCTACCAGGCGAGTTGTTGACTTAAAATGACTGACTCGTTGTGCAACGCAAACGCCTCCCAGCCCACCTCCCTCCTCCCTCCTCGTCCCCGTCTGCACGCGCCGGTACGTGTTTGCTGGCTCCCTTCTGCCCGGGAGGCCAGGCCACCTTCTCAGAGATGCTCCAAGAGGCACAGGGGACTCGGGACTCCTGGTTACACGGGTGTTTTGGGAAGCAGCTTGCTGAGCCCCTGATCTCATCAGATCCAAGTCTACACGTATGTCCCCGCTTCCACAATGTCAGTTTTCCACTTCTGACAACATCTAATTGCGCAGAAAGAAAGGTGGCTGGACTGAAGCACCCACGCAGTGCATTGCTCCAGCTTCTGAAACAGTCAGGGGAAAGGCAGAGTTCTCCTTCCAACAACTCCCCAGTGCAGAGGGAAATAACCAGAAACATTCGTTCCTCTTTGCAGGGAGGAGGTGGTGACCGGGGGGTAGGGAGGGAAAAAGAGTTGAAACAATCTGCCAGCAGCACAAACTTTGTTCGCACTCCAACTCTGCCTCAGATGGGAAACAGCCAGCAGAAAAAAAACCCTCAAGAAACAAGGAAGCTGTTCTCATGCTAGCAGCGACTTCTGAAACAGCATCCCCCGCCCCGCAAAATGCTGGGACGAATGCAGGAAATAAGGGAACGCTTTTTGACACGACTTTTGCAAAGTATTCTATGCAAAATCTCCAACTCAAACAGTTTGTAAGATCCTGCAGGTATCATGCAAGGGGACTGCACAGGGAAGAACAAACTGGCATAAAAAATGGACACACTGGACAAAAGCCTTTCCAGTCCCAAACAATGAAAGGTCTGTTTTAGTAACCTGCTGCAAATTATGAGTGCCGCATACGCGGCACGAGGCTTCCAGACTGGTGCCAGAGGAGTTAAAAAGAAAAAGAAAAGTCTACCAGGACCAGAGCAGTGTGTCTGCAGGATCAGAGCAGTGTGTGGCTGGAGATGGCCGGGCCTGGAATGCCGGCAGAGGGCTCGCCCGAGCCAGGGACAACAGGGAAACGCTGCATGGCGAAGCGGTGAAGATGCAATAAACTGTATTTCCTTCCTTCCCTGACGCTGTCAGCAGCTCAGGGCGTACGCACTGCCAAACAGTTAAACCACAACTGGGCTGCTTGCCCACTTGCCGTGCCCCCAACGCCGTGCCAGCCCCCTTCCGCACCAGCTCCTCGCCCACTGCACGCCTTGGGCAGCACATGGCTGTGGCCAGGCCAAGGACTGGGATTTCCCCAGGATAAGTTCCATCTCCTGGTTTTCAGCAGTTAGGATGTCACTCTGAACGTGTGCCTTGCTACCCCCGCTCCTAACCACTAATGCGGGGATAACGACCTCTTAACTCAGGGGGTGCGGGTGACCCGGGCCACAGCTGAGGCCACAGCCTCCCCCAACACACACTGAGAGATGGGAACATTTTTCTTTAAGAATCTTGCTGTTGGAACTCAGAACTGCTCGCAGAAGCATTTTAATTATACTTTATTTACAAAAAAATGCTTAGAGAAACCCCCAACCCCCGAAAACTTCACTTTTGTGAGAGCGACAGAGAGGTCAGACACACAGATTGTCACGAAGATGACACACCTTAAGCACTGGCTACAGTGGATCTGGGGCTTTTCTGGTTTTTAAGTCAAGGCCAAGAAATTTTTAAACCAACACAACATTCTCCGAAAGCATATGCAACTAAAGCTTCAACCTCCGAGCGGCAGCCCAGTGCTAGAACACACGCTGAATGGGACAAAAAGCCCAGGAACCAACAAAATAAAGTCAGTTATTAGGAGTAATATTAATCATGCAAAGGCACCTCTGAATTTTTTTTAAGGTGTGTTTTGTGACATTTATGTAGCTTCCAGTCTGCTACATTCCTATAAATACTTGTCAAAAAAGACTGTCTGGCATCATGTTTAGAGAGCTAAAAAGGTCACTGCCCAACCGACGTTGTTCAACACCATTTGGAAACCAAAGGCCCACCCTGGGCACCCTGCAGCTGCCTTGCAATGCCCCTCTGCAGCCAGAGGAGAGCTGCGGTGGGACGGGATGGGACAGGATGGGATGGGACAGCCGTGCTGGTCAGGCTGAGACGCTGCTCAAACCACCGCCCACCCAGCCGCTGCAGAGCTCAAGCCCAGAGCATCCTGTGGGCTCGCAGTTATTTTGAAGTGAACTGGAAGGACACATATCAAATGCAAAGCAGGTATAACCTCTGAGATCACCGCGCTGAAGTGTTTTAAAATATCCAGAGAGAGGTGAATCAATCAGAATACTTCCTTCATAAACCTTGTCCTTACTGGCATTCTCTGGGCTTGAGCTCAGCCCAAAAATAAAGAGGCAAAATCTCTTCAAATGTCAAGTCTTAACACAGCCTGTACCTTGCTGACACACACAAAGGAGAATTTGCTTTTCCTCATTTCAGGCATGGTTTCAAAGTTGACCTATACCCTTAAAATCAGCCCCACAGTGCTTCATGAAGCCAGCACAGCCATCCTCCCCAAGCTGCAAAGGAGGGATACACCGCACAGAGCACCAGAAACATCGTGTACCGATACAGTGAGTTATCCAGGTACCCTACAGCTCCTTATTCCCTCACCAAGGTGCCCTCTTTTCCCTACGCAGAGTTTACCACGGACGCCACTGAGAAGTGTTGACATTTAGATATACCAGTGTCGACTGAAATACCCAGGTTAGACACGTGAGAATTAATATTTATGTGTCTTAAGCAGGACCATGTTCCGAACACCAGCAAATAAGCTCGTACGTGCAGGCTTCAGGTCACCACGGTGCCTAGCAGAGAGGCACCCGCGGCTCGGAGGAAGCCAGACGGACCCTTTGATGGGGCTCTCCACACGACAGAACTAGCACATCTCCTCAGCAGAGCCAATTAGACTAATGAAGGACCTTTTTAATTTAGTAGGGCTGCTTCCAGGGCTCACGACAGTTCACCTGAAAGACTGTACATATACAGCCCGGAATGTTCGGGGCCAGGGTTCCCTGAGCAGACGCAGGACTGGCCGGCACAGCATTCCCTTTGGATCACACAGGTGTCTGAAGCCCGGCGGGCCGTTCGGCTCCACAGCACTGCGAAGCTGCTCAGTTCCCTTCAGCACCTCCAAGCTCAGCAACCAGCACCCCAGCTGCTCCTCCCGAAACTGGAGAAAAGGACGCACTCACCTGCTTTCGTTATCCAGGAACACGGAACTACTGCTTTTCCCAAGGGCTTCGCTAATGGGAGAGAGGCAGAAGGGGGAAGAGAAGGCATCAGAATCAGAGTCAAAAGTGCTGTCCCTGCTCACGTCATCAGCAGACAGCTCCAAGGAGCCCTCGTCCTCCCCCGGCTCTGGCCTGCAGTCCAGCCCTTCCTCCGTCCCCTCCACCGACAGCTCCGACCTGTTCTGCTCCTCCTGAGAACTGATTGTCGAGAGGATTCCTGAGTCGCTGCGGGCAGGCTGGAGGGACCGGCGGGCGCCGTCTGCCGCGGGGCAGCCCTGGGAGAGCTTCTCCCCTTCCGAAGGGGGGGAGCTGATGTACGCCACATCTTTCACAAGCTGGGACACAGTCAAGATGTCTTCTCCTTTCGGGATCATGGCCCCCCTCTGCTCGGTGGGGGAAGCCTGCCGGACAATGCCGAAACCCTGAGCGTGGCGGCCGCGCTTGCGGGGGGCTTTACGGACAGGGGAGCTCTCGGGGGTGATATAGCGCAGGGCTTCCTCATCCTGCCTTTGAATGCGGGAGTTCGGCACCCAGGCGAGGATCAGCGTGGTTCCCAGCAGCTCATCCTTCTCCATGTACAAGCACAAATAGCCTTCGGGAGAGCACAGGAGCAACCAGTTATGACACAGCTTTAGTCTTAGGAAACTGCAGATGCCTGAAATTTGGCCATCCCCATCTTCCCCTGCCTCACCACCATTCCACACAGGCAAAACAAATCCTTTTATTTGCCAGGAGAGAATTCTGCCAAATGAATTGTGGAGTGCTCAACATTATTTGGTATTTACAAGTAATTTCAAGCCTGCACACGGCTTTGGAATAGTCTAAATTCCCTCTGGCCTAAGTGGACATGGAAATGACATGCAAATACCTCAACTTCCTGGAGGGATTACTAATCAAGAGTAAATTCTGAAATATGTTGCCACATGAAAAACTTCTACTGTTTGTTAGTCAAACAATTTCAAGTGCCAGCTCAACATTTCTTTCTCAAGAATATTTACCTTATGCAGCTAAAGGGCTACAATATTCATGGAAAGCCAATAGAGAAAAAAGTCACACGCACAAAAAGGGAAGCGTGGGTCAATGTTCACAGAATAATTAGTTTTGTGAAGCTAAGCCAGCAGCCACGGCGCTCTGATGAGAGCATGAAAGAGCGCAGTAACAGAGGAGAGTAAAGGCACAGGGCAGTATTTATCCTCATTTACTCCAGTGCACGCAGCCACAATCAGGTTTTCTTTCTTTTCCCTTTACAAATGGTTGTTGAGGCCACTCCAGCAATGACAGTTACAGGATGCTACTTGGCTTCCCTGAACAATAACCATATTGGGAAGAGCAACAGAAGTTACTGTCCTCAAATGACAACTGCCCATCTTCTGGCTATACACAGGACTTACTAAAACAAGTAAATCCATGCGAGACCAGAAGAGAAAGGAGAAATGTCATCGATTTTCCTACTAAAAGCGGAGCTGATGGATCAGCTTGTGGACAGCTTTCCTTCTGTAAGACTGCCTTGCCCTGTCCCCTGCTGGCACCTCCTCATTCTTTAGAGCCCAAGATGTAGAATTTGATAGAAACAGACACCCCAGAGCAGAGAAAAAGAGCGAGTGAGCAGTGCCTGCAACACCCTGTCACCTGGATGATGCTCCCCGATGCCTTGTAGCAGCTCCGGGGGGTGGACACAGACGTTGTTCTTCGAGTAGATAATCTCCCCATCGAGTATGGAAGATGAACTGCCACCACCACCAGAATTCAAGGTCAGGAGGTCGGAAGCTTTTGAAGAGGCACGTCGGAGGAGTCGCCCCAGAGACATCGCCAAGGAAATGTTTCCATTATCCGTCAGCTTTAATCAGAAGCCAAATTCAGAAGACCTGCCAAGAAGGAGGAAAGAATAGCATCAGGACAAGTGTAACAACAGCACAGCACGTGCCTACCAGTGTCTGAGAAGGAAGAGGTCTCCCATCAGCTGCTGC